AGTTCAAAAAGAAGGAGAACCGGTCAGTGCTTATGTGGCCGCGCTTCGAAAAGCCACAACGCATTGTGACTACAGAGACTTAGATGACGCGTTGCTTGAACAACTGATTTGCGGGGTTCGAGACACCTGGTTACAAAGGCGTCTTCTAGCCAAGCCAGACCTAATGCTAGCTGGCGTGCTAGACGAAGCCCGAGCACATGAGGCATCAATGAAAGCTTCGGAAGCGCTGCAGCGACCCAGTTCAAGCAAAGACGGGCCGAAAATAGCCCCCGTCCACAGAGAAGAGGTGCGAACCAGCACAGAGGAAGAGTCGGACGAGGATGTCTTCCATACAGAACAGAAATCAAGCGAACAAACCCGCCGCCACGAGAACTGCTCTAGCTGTGGCGGGGATCACGAGAGACATTCGTGTAAATACAGAGAAGCCATTTGTAGGCGTTGCGATAGAAAAGGCCACCTAGCACGAGTTTGCAGAGCTCAATTTCCGCGTAGTCGAAAGCCACGTGACTACCGCGACCAACCAGAACCGGCTCATTCAAAACAGCCAATCAAAGATGACGGCGCGAGAAAATGGTGCGAACCTCAAAAGCGGGAGACCTACAGCACGAGAATCGGCCAAGCCAGCACAACCGACGAGGAAAATGTCTACATGAAAGTAGAAATCGATGGCAAATCGTGCGAAATGGAAATCGACACCGGGTCTACATTATCGATCATGTCCTGGTCAACACTCAAGGCACTCCTGCCCAACCTTCAGAAGAACCAGCTGTCCCATCAGAAAATCTGCCTACTCGACTACCAGGGAAACCGAGTTCCCATTGAAGGCGTGGGCACGTTCCGGGTCACCTACGGCGAGTTCCAGAAAGAGCTGCCCCTGACCGTCGTTAGCAAGCCCCTACCAAGTCTACTGGGCATGAAATGGTTCCGGGCCCTCGGCATGGGCTTCACGGGCATTCACAGCATCAGCGGATCATCACTTAAAGAAACCCTACTCCATGAGTTTCGGGATGTTTTCGAAGAGACTCTAGGCAAGTACATGGGGACCCCTATATCCTTTAATTTAGACCCCAACGTAGCACCAATCAGACTGAAAGCAAGACGAGTTCCATTTGCTTTAAAGCCAAAAATTGATGCAGAGCTCGACAAGCTCATTAAGCAAGGGGTGCTAGTTCCCGTAGATCATGCTAAGTGGGAAACCCCAATAGTCACCCCCGTAAAATCTGATGGCTCAATTAGAATTTGCGCCGACTATAAATGTTCAATTAACAAGGCGTTGCAGCAGAGCGCCTATCCAGTTCCGATAGTCCACCATCTACTACATTCCCTGGGGCCTGGCAAGCTATTCGCAAAACTAGACCTTGCGCAGGCGTACCAGCAACTGCCATTAGATGACGCTACGGCAGAATCACAGACAATAGTAACTCACAGAGGTGCCTTTAAATGCACCAGGCTTCAGTTTGGGGTCAGCATCGCCACAGGACTCTTTCAAAGCACAATGGAGTGCCTTCTACAGGGCCTCCCAGGTGTCGTCCCATATTTCGACGATGTTTTGATTAGTGGCCAAGGTGAGATTCAGTTAGGTCAGAGGGTTAGACAAGTCCTAACGAGGTTCAGAGAAGCGGGACTTAAACTCAAGCGAACAAAATGCAAGATAGCGGTTCCATCAGTGGAATTCTTAGGCTACAGAATCGACGGCACGGGCATTCACCCCACAGAAAGCAAAGTTAGGGCCATCCAAGGCGCGCCCACCCCCAAGTCGAAATCTGAACTGCAGGCTTTCCTGGGCCTTCTCAATTTCTATACGATGTTTCTGAAACACAAAGCCACCGTTGCGGAGCCTCTGCACAGGCTCCTTGGAAAAAACGTTCCGTGGGTTTGGGGCAAGCAAGAAGCGGCTGCATTCAGCGCTGTAAAACTAATTTTGTCTGAGGACAGTTTCCTCATCCAATACAATTCCGAACTACCTCTAGTATTGGTCTGTGACGCTTCCCCCTTTGGTGTAGGTGCGGTTTTAAGTCATAGACTGCCGAACGGGTTAGAGGCGCCCATCGCCTATTACTCTCGCACTTTGTCTAGTGCTGAAAGAAACTATAGCCAACTAGATAGGGAGGCATTAGCGGCTGTAGCTGGGGTCAAGAAGTTTCACGAGTATTTGTTTGGCCGCACTTTTGAACTTGTTATGGACCACCAGCCTCTTTTGGGACTTTTGGCTGGAGATAAACCGACCCCGGCTGCTCTTTCCCCCCGGATGACCAGATGGTCCATTTTCTTAGCCGCGTACTCGTACAGACTGCTCCACCGGCCGGGCAAAACCTTGGGCCATGCTGACACCCTCAGCCGATGCCCTTTGCCCGAATTGTTGGACAATCCGACCCCGGAAGCCCCGGCTCTACTGCTTGACATTGTTTCCCCGGGCCCCATTTCTTCAAACGAGGTGGCGAGGGTTTCTGCCAGAGACTCTGTTTTGCGCACTGTAATGGGCTGGGTTACGAGGTGTTGGCCTACCAAGGTGGACGGTGGTGACTTTCAATTGTACTTTAACAAAAAAAATGAACTGTCAATGTTGGGGGGTTGCTTGTTGTGGGGAGACAGGGTGGTCATTCCTTCGCGGTTAAGGCACAGAGTTCTGGAAATGTTGCATGAGGGACCCCCCGGAATTGTTCACATGAAAAGCCTAGCTCGTAGTTATGTTTGGTGGCCACATCTCGACCAAGATGTCACTGAGTGGGTGGGGAAGTGCAGGCCCTGCCAGGAGTCCTGCCCAGATCTGCCCATAGCTCCCGTTCGGGAATGGGAAAAACCAAAAGGGCCATGGGGGAGGATTCACATTGATTTCGCTGGCCCGTTCCATGGCCAGAACTTTCTTATTATTGTAGATGCATATTCGAAGTGGCTCGAAATTGCCCTAATGCCATCTACCACTTCTGAGGCCGTAATCAAAGTACTCAGAAAACTATTCACAACACACGGGTTGCCGGACACCCTGGTATCTGACAATGGGCCCCAATTCACGGCAACTCAATTTGAAGGCTACCTAGCCGAATTAGGCATTAGACATGCATTATCCGCTCCTTTTCATCCAGCTTCTAATGGCCTTGCAGAGAGATTTGTAAGAATGGCCAAAGAAGCTCTTTCCCGGCTTGATGTAGGGGACTGGCAGGCTAGAATAGATGAGTTCTTAGCAGTACAGCACGCCACCCCGTGCCCCACCTCGGGCCAAAGCCCAGCCGAGCTCTTAATGGGCCGAAAGCTAAGATGCGTTCTCGACCGACTGCATCCCAATTACTCCCCCGATAGCTTCAGGGGGTAAGGGGGAGGACTAAGACAGTTCCAAGAAGGAACACCAGTTTTTGCTAGAAGTTACACCAATGGGCCCTTATGGGTAGAGGGAACCATCGTAGGAATTACCAGCCCAAAGTCATATACAGTCGATATAGGGCATGGTAAAATCTGGAGGAGGCATATAGATCAATTGCGTAAACGTTTGCAAAACGAAAACTCATGTCCTAACTTTCAAGGTCTTCCTGACACAGCTACCTCAAGCCCGAGTAAGCCGGAATACTTATCTGGCAACCCTGAGTTCCAGCGCCGCCCCAGCGAGCCGACACTCCCAGCCGGAGATAGCCACACCTTCGGAGAAATCCAGGAGGTTCCATTGGCGGAGCCGGGAGAGACGGGAGGTCCCTCCGACCGGCTCGACGCCTCGCCAACAACTGAACTGCGCAGGTCAACCAGGATTAAGACACGCCCTGGTCACCTGCATGATTTTGTATGTAAATATGTAAATAGATAGAATAAGTGCCTTCTGGGAGTGGAGGGGTGTTATGTATGTATCTATTTTGTGCGGGAAATTCAAATGTACAGTGAATTCTGATCAGTTCTTGGTTGCCCCTGAAAAATATATAAAGAGGGCTGTTGCCTGTGTTCCTTTGCTAAAGTCTCACCCTGAATTAAAGAGCTGTTGTTACTAGCCTGCTTGTGCCTCTCGTTATTCCCGCGCTACAACAAGCACCACCCCCTAGAATCGGGAACGACTAGCACATATGTGTAAGGGGAACCTTTACCTTTACCTAATATGCTCTAATCAGGCTGCCCTTGAAGATCATTCAAAAATTCAAACTGGTGCAGAATGTGGTTGTGCAAGTAATAAATGGTACCAGATATATGGCATATGTAACACCATATCTGCATGAGTTGCGCTGGTTACTGATGTGTACAATTCAAGATACAATTTAAGTGCTGGTGATTACTTATAGAGCCCTACATGGCTTGGGACTAGAGTACTTGAGGAATTGTCTTTTTTCAAGAGTCTCTACCCATTCAACTAGGTCAAGCAGAAATTCGCCTTTTTCCACACTGGCCCCTGCATTATGGAATACCTTTCCTTCAGAGATTAGAATGGTCCCAACCCTGTTAGTCTTGTGTAAAGTCTTAAAAACCTGGCTATGTTCTTGGGGCACCACATGTGCCAATGGCCCCGTTCCCTGCCCATATTACTAACTGACCAAATATTTTGCTCAATTGTGTATGTCAAATTGGATGTTTTTAATGGCTTTTACTGGTTTTACTGTTTCATTGCTTTAACATTATTTTTTAATGTTTAATTGTAATATGTTTTCTGAATTATAAGATGCCCAGGTTAATTGACTGAGATGGATAGCCAGAGAAATGGAACAAATAAAGTGTATGGCTCACCAGTTTATGTAAAAGAAATATAGTGCATAAAAATGGATGCTCCAATGATTCATAAAAACATTGCTTTTTAATATGTACCTGTTGTGCATGTTATTAAATTAACTGAATATATTACCAATGGAGTATTATAAAAGTAATACTTTGGATCACAAGAAAACCCAACAATGACCAACCCAGCAGTTGTACTGATACTTTTATGGCAAATGGATGTAGGCCAATTTTTCTATTAAAGACAAAAAACACATTGCATTAGCACAGAAGAGATAAAAATGAGTGTTTAATTTAGTCTGTATCCTTTTTTTTAGAACAGAGAACACAATTCATCTGGTACCAGAACTATGTACCTGGACAACAAAGATGATGGTGCAATTACCAGAAACATAGATATGGAATTGGACTCTCACCACATGGATGTGCTTGGAGATGGAGCAACAGAGCCAATTTCTTACAATGTCAGCAAACTGAAACTCTTGAAGGAGATCATGATTGGTCAGGGAGCATCACATCAACCCTATCCAAGAATTGCACAAGAGCCAGACCAGTGTATTACTTTGGGGAAAGAATTCAGTCCTCTCACTATGCAACAGAGGTAAGAAACCCAAAAGGGAACTAAATATATCCATTTCCTTTTAATGGTTTTGTTCATTGGCTCAAGAATCCATATGTTTTATTTAACATCTTCCTACAATTAATAGCAACTGTGGGGAAAAAGCTTAGCTGAGGAACCGAAACAGACAATTGCTGCAAAGGGATAGACTCTCAGCAGGTTTCAGAACTAACACATGTTTTTATAGCAGCTCTGTGAGCAAATTTTTTTTGTGCCTCTATTTTCAAGGATCTTTTTGTCTTCCTTGGCTTTGCATTTAAACAAAACATTCAAAGGACACACACACACACACACACAAACCCTTTATGCAAATAAAATTATGCCAAAATTGTTAAATCAAAAGTTTACAAGACCCAGTTCTGTAATTATGGGTGATTGTTCAGGTGATTAAGTTAAGGCATGAAGCTGCAGTTATGATAGTAATAATGGTGTTTGTTTATTATTCATTTCATTAGCTGGGTGATGAGTGTGTAAAAATAATTTGATGCCATCAAGTGAGACGCACAAAAATACAAGAATATCCCAAAAGTCATTTTGCTTTCGCTTTTTAAAATCTTTACCAGGTTTTGTTTCTGGTATATCAGATTTCTTAAAATTCTGATCTTGTACTGTTGTTTAATTGTATTGGTCTCAAGTGTATACAGCAACTTTTGAATGATTTCTTGAAAGTTAATTCTTCTAAAAGTTTCAGAAAGTGGCAGCAGAAAAGAAATATGTCTCTTCACATATTTTGCTAAGCATAACTGCCATCAACACTTCCTTACATGATTACAGTGAATGATTCTGGAAGTTGAGCAATATTAATATAAGTTCATTTCTAGAGCATTCGGTACATAATATTCCCTTTCTGCCATTTTATTTTAACAAACGTGCAGTGAAATAGGTCTGGGCTAAGGTTTCCCCAAATCCCATGAGTTGCATGGCTGAGTATAAGATTTAAACCTGTAAATTTTTAGTTCATGCAATCTTTGCCAACTACTTCATACTGGCTCAATGTTGCATTACCCAAAAGCGTGATATAGTATGATATGTCCGTTAGTATAGTATAGTATGATAGTATGTTAATGCACAACCTTATGTATTTTAAAACTACATAGGAAAAACATACAGTTTTTACAATTGTAGAATTAATGCTATATTATTTATAGGATTGTTTTATTAGCTATTGTATTTGTTGCACATCATTTCCACTAATTTTTCTTTTGTTTGGTGCTTAGCTGGGAAGAAGTGCATTATAGAAATACAATGAAATTTATCCTCACTGTAGAAGAAAGACGTAGACCTTCTGTATTGAGGACTTGATTTATCATGGCAGTAATGGAGCAGAGAACCATCTCAGCTGGTTTCTTAACACCATATGATGAAAGGGATAAGTTACCCTGCTGAAGGAGATGTAAGATATATTATAAACAAAGGGGGCTCCTGATTTAGATCAAGCCACTGCAGGCATAAACTAGCATGATGAATATGTTTCCAGGCAGACAGTCTCCATTCAGTTCCTGAGTGATATCTCAGTTAGGACTTCAGTTCCGGAGTCCTATGAATGTCACATTCCTGCTGATATAAAACAATGTTCCTTGCTTTACAACACAGAGTGAGATTAAATAACACCAGACAAATAGCCTGATATGTGTATCTTTTATTCAGTGCATGATATAATCACTGGATTTACTCATACAAGATTTGGCCTTTGCTACTAGCTTGCAAGGCTTGAAAGGAGTAGAGTGATGTAATAAATTCATTTGTCTGGTGACAGAGTTAAATTCAATACTAAATAGAGTGTGCTTCTTCAGATACTAGTTTTACCCTTTCATTCAGTAATCAATAAATGATTTATGTAGCATCTTTCTGTAACAAGAGAAACAGGAACGAAGCTTATACTTAGGAAGCCACTAAGATAATATCCTGTGGGGAGATACTCCACCTGCAACTTCCATAGCATCAATATCTCTTGTTATAGTTGCTATGGGGATGTGTTTGTTTTCTGTTGTATTTTCCATTTTCCTTATTGATTGTTTAAAATTTAAAGATAGTGCTCATGAAGTCAAGGAAAAACATCATTTTTTACTAATAAACTCAGATATAAATTGGTAAAGTACAATTTCATAAACCTGAACTAAGAGAACAGACTGTTCATTCCTGATCTGCCTGTTGTGATAGACATAAATGATCCAAACTGTTTTTAATGGAAAAATGCTTTCACTCTTTCAAAGTGACTGTCACCGAGGATAACTTTTCCCAACCTGTGAGGGCTACCTCTGAAAGTCTAATATGCATGGTCAATATTGGCTGAGGATTCTGGGAACTATAACTGTAACTCTTTTAAGAATAGATTGGACAACCACTTGTCTGAAATGGTACAGTTTCCTGCTTGAGCAGTGGATTGGACTAGAAGACCAGCCCACAAACTTGGAGAACGAACCCTCATTCTCAAATCAATGTTCTCCAGATTTCCAACTCTGTTATTCTGTTATTCTGAAGGAATAGATTGGAAAAGGCTAATGTAGGAAGATGAATGTAAGATAAATTATTTAGATCATCTTATGTCCTATCTCATTATTGCTATCTAGTTGATACAACTCCCTCAATTCCAACATATCATGATTTTGGTTAAAAATAGTCTGGAGTATGCAGGAGTAACATTCCTCCTAAGATATCTGGAGAACATTGATTTGAGGATGAGGGTTCGTTCTCCAAGTTTGTGGGCTGGTTTCTGAACATTTCATTACCAGGCTAGGTAACATCTTCAGTGGAGTTTAGGTATGTCAATGTCAGTGTTTTTTCTGTTTATAAGGGCTTCAGGTATGGGTGTGTCAATGAGGGTCTTGTGATGGGGAAGTTACATCAGGTGATGTCATTGGGATGTGAAGTGCTGGCTGGGGGAAGGTTTTCATGGGTTGGTTGAGGGTTGGTAGTGTTGTGGCCCACTGGCAGCCTGCAGAGCTGGCAGCGGAGTTGGACAGTGAGGAGGCTGGGGAGGAACATGGGCCAGTCCTGGAGTCTGGGGAAGGCTCGGACAAGGGCTCTGTGTCGGAGGCAGCGAGGGGGCCAGGTCCATCTGGGAGTTATGTGCCACCTCCGGAGCCTCCAGAGTTGGACATCAGCAAGGCAAATGAACAGGTGGAGTCTGTTCCCAGTGCGCTTGTTATGGAATGAAAGACTGAAAAACATTCCTCGGTCAGCCAGATACAGTTTATTGTGCAGGTTCAGAGCCAGATTTGTACCTGAAATTCTGAACCCCGGAAAGCTCTGATACAACTGCTTATATATGTTTCCAAGACAAAGGGTTTGGTGAGCACATGCATTTTTCCATATATGTTTAACATACACTTGTTATATGATAATTGACATTTCCTAATTACTAAAGCATTATTGTCTAGTTTATAAGATTATCTTTAGCTAGACAACCTTCCTTAGTTCTGTAATTACTAATACGGGAGATTTATTGCTGTCCTTAGGTAATAAGTAACTCTTTGTAACATACATGTCCTTGTGTCTTTGACAATGAGGCCCCTCAGATGTTTTCCATATGGCTGTCCTTCTGTGATAGCTAGGCCTCATCAGAAGATGTATTACCAATAATGGGATTTAGCTGATTTTTAATATAATCTCCAAACAAGCACATTTCTCCCTTATAATAATGTGAATAGAGAGGGTCCTTTAGTGTTCATGTAACTGACCCTGTATGATTCCTACTTTATTCACATTACGCTCATGCGCAGAACTGCCAGAAGGCAAGAACAGTTAAGACAAAAGGGACTACTTGGGAGTAGGGCTTGGAGATGATTGGCCCCTCCCATAAGATATAAGGGAGGAGCAAAGGCATGTGAGCCTTTGCAGGAAGCAACCTTGTTCGTTCTGGTTGGTTTAAATTCTGAAGCTCTGTTTTGACTCTGTGCTCCTTGTGGCCTTGCAAAGCTAATTGCCAATTAGGTCTTTGGCAGTGTGTCAAGGGAGATAAAGGTGAGTGCTTATCAACCTTATCCCAAAAGACTGTGGCAGACAAACTATTTGTGACTCATTATGGGCTGTGAATGAACAGAATTCACAGCCATTGAAATAAAAAGAAGGTTTTTGGGACTAATTGTGTGCTTTTTACTGTCTCAGGAAGCCTAGGTCAGGACAAGTGCTGTCTCTGGTTGACTGTGTGGTTGATTTAGATTCTGAGGAGTTCGTAGGCTGGTTGTAGGTTAATGTGTCTGTTGATGGAATTGCTTGTGGAATGCCAGGCTTCGATGAACTCATGAGCATGGCGGGTGGACTTGGACAACACATATTTGGAGTCTTAGACTCCATTTGCATACCTGCATTTAGCAATGTAAGCTGCTCCTATCCTGTGTTCATGCCAGCTCGACTCTAAACTTGTAAGCCACTTTAAGAAAATCCTGTGAACCGAAAAACCTTGGCAGCAGTTTGCAAGGTTTTCAGTCTAGCTACCACATTCTGCTTTTGGATAATTCCCCTGCTGCTGTGTTTTCTCACTTTTTTGTTCAGTGAAAACAACAGCTAATTTCCTTGCTGTTGGTGGGTATTCCTGGATATACATAAAACACACTTTTATGCACACCCACCCACATGCTTACAGTGTTAAATTAAATTTATATTCACAGGTAGTATGGTAGTTACCATCTTTGCTTTATTGGATAATTTAATTTTGAATGCTCCAGTTCAAGTCTTTGTGTAAAAATTGAATCACCACATGGACAAATACATATTTAGAAAAAGATATTGTTACACATATAAATATTTTGCTCTATCCTAATTTTTTAAGTTTACTATAGGATTTTTTTTACTATAGGATAAGTTTACTATAAGATTTTTTTTTTACGTTTTTCACATTTTTTCACATTTTCACATTTTTTATTTTAAACAATATAATATGTTTAAGTGTTTAATTTTCTTCACTTCATTTTTTATAAATATAATACATTAAGTTTCCATTCTAAACTATAATTTTATTTTATAATATTACTATTGTTAAA